TTTTTATAGAGACGCCAAGGGGTGGAGCAAAAGACCTCCTCCCCCAGCACAGCCAAGTGCAGACCATCTCAGACACCTGCACTCAGGCCCGTGGTCCTGATCATCCTCTATTCGGACCTGCTGGGTAAAGCCACGAGGAACCCAAGAATGGGCTCCCACAATCCACCACCATCAAGTTGGCTTCATCCCAAAGATGCAAAGATAATTCAACATTCATAAATCAATAAACATAACTTACCACATAAACAGACTAAAAGACAAAAACCACATGATCTTCTTATTGGATGGAGAAAAGATCTTTGACAACATCCAACATCCCATCATGATAAAAACCTTAGAGAGACTTGAGGATACAAGAGACATACCTTAACATAATAAAGGGAGTTTACAGCAAGCCCATAGCCAACAGCATCCTAAATGAAGAACTCAAGGCAATTCTGCTAAAATCATAAACAAAACAAGGATGTCCACTCTCTCCATACCTGTTGGATATACTCATTGCTAGAGCAATTGGACAGCTGAAAGAAATCAAGAGATACAAATTGGAAAGGAAGAAGTCAAAGTATCTTTATTTGCAGAAGATATGATTTTACACATAAAGGACCCAAAAGACTCTACCAGGAAACTTCTACAACTGATAAGCACTGTCAGAAAAGTAGCAGGGTACAAAATTAATGCATAAAAATCAGTAGTCCTCCTATATAAAAATTAAACACAAAATGAGAAAGAAATCAGAAAAAATGGTGCTTTCACAAGAGTGTCAAAAAAAATAATATAACTTGGGATAACTCTAATCAAGCAATGAAAGACTTATATAATAAAAATTTTAAGACACTGAAGAAAGAAATTGAAGAAGACACATGAAGATGGAAGATCTCCCATGTTCATGGACCTATAGGATTAATATTGTAAATATGGCCAGCCTACCAAAAGCAATCTATAGATTCAGTGCCATCCTCATCAATATTTCAACACATCTCTTCACATAAATTTAAAAAAATCTTCAAATTCTTACAGAAACACAGCAAAAATAGGTTAAATAAAATTATCCTCAATAATAAAAGAATTGCTGGGGTTATCATCATCCCAGATTTCAAACTATAGAACTATAGTAATAAAATAGCATTATAATGTGATAATAAAAAAACAAGACACATTGATCAGTGGAATAGAATTGAAGACTCAGGCATAATTTCATACACCTATAGACACCTGATTTTTAAAAAGAAGCCAAAAATACACACTGGGGAAAAGACAGAATCTTCAACAAATGGCACTGGTCCAACTGGACAGCTGCATATAGAAAAATGCAAATAAATCCATACTTATCACTGCAAAAAACTCAACTCCAAGTGGGTCAAGGACCTCAACATAAGATCAGATACTCTGAAACTGATAGAAAAGAGAGCAGCGAATAAGCTTGAACTCAATGGCATGGGAAAGGAATTTCTGAACAGGACATTGATAGCACAGGCATTAAGCCCAACAATTAACAAATGGAGCCTAATGAAGCTAAAAAAGCTTCTATACAGCAAAGGACACTATCATTCCACCAATGTGGCAGCCTACAGAATGGGAAAAGAGCTTTACCAATTATACATCTGGTATAAGGTTAATATCTAGAGTAAACAAAGGAGGAAAAAAGCCCTGAACATCAAGAAAACAAATAGCCCAATTTAAAAATGGGATGTAGAATTAAACACGGAGTTCTCCAAAGATGAGACTCAAATGGCTAAGAAACACTTAAAGAAATGTTCAACATCCTCTGCCATCAGGGAAATGCAAATTAAAATGGCTTTGAGATTTTATCTTACCCCAGTCAGAATGGCCAAGATCGATAAAACAAATGGCAGCACACGCTAGTTTGAATGCAGGGGAAAGGAAGCATTTACCCATTATTGGTGAGAGTGCAAACTAGTATGGCCACTATGGAAATGAGTGTGGAGGTTTCTCAAAAAGCTGAAAATCAATCTACCACAAGCTCAGCTCTAACACTCTTGGGCACATACCCAAAGGACTCTACATCCTACTACAGAGATAATTGCTCATGCATGTTCATTGCCGCACTATTCATAATAGCCAGAAATTGGAAACAACCTAGATGCCCATCAACTGATGAATGGATAATAAAATGTGGTACATTTACGCAACAGAATACTATTCATTTGTTAAGAAAAATGAAATTATGAAATTTGAAGGTTAATGGATGGAGCTAGGAAAAAATCATTCTGACTAAGGTACTCCAGACTGGAGAAAAAAAAGACAAAACAAAACCAATATTGCAACTTTTCTCTTGCAAGATGATGCTAGCTTTTAGGTTTTCTATATGTGTGTTTCCATGCAAATAACCAGAGGTTACTGCTATCATTCTGCTAAATGAACATAGCAATCAAATGATTCTTAATGACATGTTGCTATAGTCATAGGGCACAGTATCACTCAGTCCTCATTAGAAAAGCTTCTTCTTGCCATAGATAGTAATTAACAAAGAGATCTACTATGGGACAATGTACAGAGAGAGGCTTTGGAGCACTTAGCCCTAAAAGGGATGTCTTTATTAAAACTCTTAAGGATCAGTGATCTACGGGAAAGAAAAGGAGGGAAGATTACAAGAGCTAGGGATGGTAGATGACTCCTAAGAAACAGCCACAACAGAATTGACCCACATATGAACTCACAGAGACTGTGACAGCATGCACAGGACCTACACAAGTTCAAACCAGACAAAATTTCAGCACTGAGAAGGGAAGTGGATACAAAATCCCACCCATAACCAAGAAACAATTTGTAGTCAATACCTGTTGGGAAGGGGAAAATCAGCTTTCTTCAATGGAGTGTTACTGGGAATATCAACCACACTTCAGGGCAGGCCCCATGCTCAGGAATAGTTGGCCAACACAAAATGAACTCCATGATTTTTTGTGTGTATTTTGTTTTGGATTTTGTACTGATGTGGTTTGGATTTTCTCTTGTTGATTTTCTTCTTTGTCTGTTTTGATTTTTTGTTTTTTGATTTTCCTGGGTTGTTTTGGTTTTTTTTTGAGAGAGCACATGAAGTTGTGTGGTTAAGGATGTGGGGACAATATGGGAAGAGCTGGGGGATGGGAGATAATATGATCAAAATATATTGTATGGAAATAATTTTTAAACAAAAATTTAAAAAATAAACACATGCACACAAACTAAAAAAGAAAAAAATGTTGTGATAAGAACTGATTCAGAGTTGTTAGCCAGTGAGGTCCCATAGACCACCCTCCCAAAGCAATACAGGCCATTGCCATTGCTCTTGGTTACACCCCAGAACTTGACAGTAAGATCCTGTTGCTAAAGATACCACATACTTGAGTCATTGAACATAAAGATGTTACTAACCTGAAAGCTTCATCCCTGTTGGCTAGCTTTCAAGATGATGCGTACTACCAGAGTAGAAAAGCAATTCTCGATCACACTCAGCTGTGAATCCTGTCAGCTACAATAATAACTGGCCTGAAAAGACATGTCCGTTAGTGCAATTATGACATCAACATCATGGGAATAACCAACCAATTTCTCATTGGATATAAGTCCCACTCCACAAGATGAAACCCATATATAGGACCATTATCAGGCCAACAACCTGTGACTAGACAGGTCATAGGCCCTAAGGGAGAACCCCTTACTATTAGCTTCTGAAAGAGGGGAAACGGTTTTCTCTAAGTGTGTTACCCCTAGTTAGTCAACTACACTCTAGTGAAAGACTACACACTCCAAGAATAATTCATTGGGCAGCACAGATTGGTCTTGAGGAATGTTTTTTAAAAGGATACAAAGTTGGGTGGATAGGGGAGAGGTGGTGGATTCCGGAAAAATTGAGGCAGGGTAAATATAATCAAAACATGTTGTATGAAACTCACAAAGAACTAATAAAAAAAATTAAGCCCATGGTTGGAGCAGTGTTGGATCCAATGGTAGAATCTTCTATTATTATGTTGCCAATCACCATGCTGTCAATTTGTGTTCTAAATATTTTTATTTATCTATAAATACCTACAGACCTAGAGTGCTCTCACTTTGGTGAGAGAAGCTTCCTTTTGCAGTGGGCTACAGTCAGTGCAGAGATGCCTAACTGGTCTGAGTGCCGAGAAGAAAAGACCTGAGTGAGTGTTCATCCCTCAATGGGACATCTTTATCACACACACATATACCCCTCCAGCCAAGGAATGTGTGCATGAGTGTGTATGTGTGTGTGTGTATGCGTGTGTGTTCGTGTGTGTGTCTCTGTGTGTGTTTTGTGTGCTACTTTTCTATTTATATGATAAAACACCATGACCAAAGGCAACTTAAGGAAGAAAAAATTTATTTTTGGCTTATGGATCCGGAAGGACAAAAGTCCATAATGGTGAGGTAGAGGTATGGTAGCAAGCAGCAGACATGGTGGCAGAAACAGGAAGCTGAGAGCTGACATCTTGAATAATAAGCATGAAGCAGAGATAATGACCTAGAAATGGCACGACACTTTTCATCACAAAGCCCACCTCCAGTGGCATACTTCCTCCAGCAAGTTTGCACCACCTCAGTCTCCGCAAACAGTGCCACCAACCGGGGAAACAAATGTTCAAATACCTGAGCCTATTTGGAACACTTCTCACTTAGACTACTCTAGCATGAAGTTAGGAGGGGGAGGTATTAGGTGGTGTGCTGGGAGAGTAGGAGAGAAAAAGGGGGAGAGGGGTAGATATCATATTTCATTGTATTCATGTGTGAAATTCTCAAAAAACTTTTTTTTTTTTTTTTTTTTTTTTTTTTTTTTGGTTTTTCGAGACAGGGTTTCTCTGTGTAGCTTTGCGCCTTTCCTGGAACTCGCTTTGGAGACCAGGCTGGCCTTGAACTCACAGAGATCCGCCTGCCTCTGACTCCCGAATGCTGGGATTAAAGGCGTGTACCACCACCGCCCGGCCTCAAAGAACTTTTAATAACGACTTTAATAATGTCTTCTTCTTCATCTTTTTAACTCATTACTGGGAGCATTTAGAAGGGAGGAAGGCCTAGTTTTTGTATTAATCCTGTCTCATAACCCTGATAATTTTTCTAATTCTAATCATCTTAAATACATTTTAATATTCTATTCAGTCATACTTGTAAATATTTGCATGCTTACTTTTCTCATGTCTTTTCTCTCTTTATCAGAGCTTTATTTTTGTGTAACTGAAATACAAATAAAATAGTGTTTAATATAAATAATTTCTTCTTTATCTTAATTTTCTTTATTTTTGAGACTTCCATATACATGTGCAATAGAATATGATCATATTTAGAAAGCATGACCATTTAGCAAAATAACAATAGCAGGATCTACCTTAGGGTCTATGACCTTCCCAGCCATGGGATTTTGACCAGAATTACAGTACCTGGAATGAAAATCCCCGCTATGGAGAAGGCCTCAAGTCCAATCAGAAAGTGCTTAAAATTTGTACCGTAGAATTTGTACCGCTATTGCACCAATGGGTACTTCTTGCCTGGCAGATCATAATTGTAGCATGCAAGGTCCAGCACTTGGTAAGACCATTGATAGTGGTTTTTCCTCAGCTACCAGGCAAGTGAGCACCTTCTGGCAGTATGAAAACCAGCCAGAAAGGAGGAAGACGTTTCCTGTTCAGTGTGAGACTGATTTCTCTATGCCCTGCAACGAAAGTGTGTGGTAGAACCTTACTGGATAGTTCCAGTGGAGAGTCAAGTACAAGAGCGATAGCCTGTGTTATTTTGGAGACACTGGAGCTTCCTTGACCAAAATCTCATAGGGAGGTATCCCACGCCCTGTACTGCAATTTTTATCTTGAGCCTTTTTTATATTGTTCTTGCACTGGCCAAGACTTTCAGTACAGTTTGAAGAAAACTGATTGCAGTGGGCAGCCTAGTCGTGTTCCCAATCTCAGGAAGTGTTCTCCTTTGCTTTCCTGCTGCTGTAATATACTCTGGCCAAAAACAGCTTGAGGAGGGAGAGGTTTATTTTGTCTTCCACTTCCAGGGCCATCACTGAGGGAGGTCAGGATAGGAACATAGAAGCAGGAGCTAAAGCAGAGACCACTTACCAGCCATGGCTTGCTCCACTTGCTTTCTAATACCACGGGTGGCACTTCCCACAATGGTCTGAGCCCTCCCAGATCAATCACTAACCAAGAAAATGCCCCACAGACATGCCCACAGGCCAGTGTGCTAGAGGCAATTCCTTAATTGAAGTTCTCTCTTTCCAGGTGACTAGTTTGTATCTTGACAAAAGCTAACCAGCACAAGAAGCATTCAGTATTTCCCCATTAGGTGTGCAGTCTGAAACCATGGTATTTTAACAACCTTCTTTAAATTCTTAGGAAACTGAAGTTTGTTATGAGGTTTTTTTTTTTTTTTTTAGGCTTTTTCAAGACAGGGTTTCTCTGTGTAGTTTTGGAGCCTGTCCTAGATCTCGCTCTGTAGACCAGGCTGGCCTGGAACTCACAGAGATCCATCTGGCTCTGCCTCCCAAGTACTGGGATTAAAGGCGTGCGCCACCCCCCACCTGGCTGCTATGAGTTCTTTTTGCTTGTTGGTTATGGTACTTTTCCTTTGCGCCTGTTAAGAGAATCATAATTGTTCTCCAATCACCTGAAGAATTCTCATAAAATTAGAAAGTGAGTAGGGGAGCAGTTCTCTGAATATTTTGTGGAACTTACTATTGAACAGTCTCTGAGCCTGGAAAGTGTGCATGTGTGTACATGCACAGAGAGGCCAGAGCAGAACTTCAGATGTTTCCCTCTATTGCTCTCCACATAAACGCCTTGAGAAAGGGTCTCTCACTGAACTGGAAGCTTGCCAGCAAGTTCTATGGACTACCTTGCCTCTGCCTGCCAATGGTAGGGTTACAGGCAGGCACAGCCATGCCACACTTTTACATGATTGCTACGGATTTGAACTTGGGTCTTCATGCTTACAGAACAAGTGTTCTTATCCACTGAGGCTGTCTCCCTAGCCTCATGAAGATTTCTCTGTATAAACCTTTTAAAATTACAAATTCACATTATTTAATAGTCATGATTGCTCAGATATTCTCTATTTTCTGTGACTTTGAATAAATTTTATCTGCCAAGAATTTTTCCGCTGTATCAAAAATTTCAAATTTGCAAGCATAAAATTCTAATTCCAATAGCCTCTCTTTATAATTTAATGTTATATAGTGTAGTGCTCCTTTTGTTCTGGATACTTTCTTACTTTCTGAATCATGATGTCTCAAGGATTCTTCAAAGAACCATTAACTCTGCTGATCTCTGCTGTGGCTCTATTCTCTATTCCATTATCAAGTCTACCATTTCCCTCCTTTAAGGCTACTTTATTATCTTTTTCTAACTTAAGACAGAAATCCAGCTCTTCCTTTTTAAGATAGATTAATTTAAAGCTACAAAAGTCTCCCTCCACTCAGCCCTAGAGGTATTTCACAAGATTTCAGGTGAAGATTTTCATTCTAGGTCAGTCCAAAATATTTTCTAATTTCCACTGTGAATTTATGTTCAGTGCATAGGATTTTATCCCTTTCTAAAGCATGGTGCCCAAATTTTAGAGATATAAAAATAACCACCTAAAGTTTTTCTAAAAATGTTTCACACCTCTCCCACCTACCAGATTTATATTTCCAGGGAGTAGGCCTTGGGACCTACATTTCACAAGTCCCAGAGGGATCCAGCTGCAGGTGCATGGCTTCCAAGCCCACGAGTTGGTAGCAGATCATGGGCTTCATAAGTGCAGGCAGCAAGTCTGATCCACCCAAGTCATCTGAGGCCAACACTGGACCGACATAAAGCTGTGCTTAATGAATGAACCAACAAATGATGGAAGAAAACAAATAAAATACAATTTTTATATCAAGAGAATTGGAATTGTTGAATGCTATAAGTTAGAGGAACCACTACAGCATCATTTGGTCCCCATTTAAACCGATTCAAAACAGAAATGCACTCCCTGGTCTTCACATTTGTGTTCACCAGGCCTTCTTCTCATCTTTTGCTTATTGCTGTCCCGGAACACAACCTTAAGTATGGATTCACGCCTGCCTCCTGGCCCAGAAAAGGTAGAAGTAGCACTGGAGATATCCTGACAGGGACTGTTCTGAGCTTGGTGTCTCGAACTCCTCCTCCACCTCCCTCCAAGCCAGCTCCCAGACCCTGCCCATAAAACTCCATTCTAAATGAGGTTATCTACCCTGTCTTCCAAGCCTTCCCATGCCAAGCCTGAGATATTTCCACCAAGTCTTTGTCCAAAACCAGACCCCAGACCTTTACAAGTCCTGCCCTCTCTACACGAGTAGCCTAAGCTACTCGGCTACTTCTCCTCACCTCCACGCAGGCTTCTCTCAAGTCAGAAAGGCCTGAGCCTGATTTTGTCAGCCAGCTATTGTCCTGGCAAGAACAGCCACCACACCAAGCATCCCCATTCAGTCAGCCAGCCAGCCAAGTTCTCCTGGTCTCGCCAGCCCCCTCCCCCAACCCCAGCCGCCCCGCCCCAGGGAGGACCTTGCTGGTGGCTGGGAGTCTCCCGGCTGCTCAGCCTCCCTTCTTCCCTCCCTTGCTCTCCCTGCTTCCCTCCCTCCTCCACCCGCCCCTCGGGCAGGGACTGTGCAAATCGAGGAGAGGGGAGGACCAACAGGCTACACAGGGTCCGGCTAAGGGGCCACGACTCCTCACTGAGACCCTATCCAAGCTAGGTGTTCCCCGCATCGTGGAACCTGGATTTGTGTGAAGCGGGGTGATTCCCGGGCCAGGAAGGTCCTTCCGGCAGGTCCACCATACCTTCGTCTCGCATCAGGACCCCTCTTGGATGCTCTGAGCCACCCTTCTCAACCCGGATCTAAAACCTGGGACACGGCTATCAGGCCAGCCTCTCTCTCCCTCCACCCCTCCCCCTCTTTCTGGCGTCCATCCCCTCCCCAACACCACCTCTGCTGCTGCCTCTGGCTGTGGACCTGCACCTCTTCTCCATCCTCGCCAGGCCGGGAGAGTGAGGTTAGCCTGGATGAGAGTGTGCCCCTAACCTGGGGCCCTCCCAGGCCATGGCTCGTGTGCTCCCAGGGAGGAGTCCAGGACCCTGAGCATCTGCTAGAAGCTTGGCAGAGGCCCCCGCTGGGACCGTGTCTTCTGAGGACAAAAGGCTGCGGCCAGCAGGCAGACTGGGTGGGGGGTGGGGGGGGAACCGGTAGCCAGGCAGGCAGACCAGTAGGGAAGCCAGCGCTGGCCCCCTCCCAGACTGGCGGTAGCATGAAGATGGGGGTGGGAGTGTGTAGCGGGAGAAGCACCTGCCAGGACCCCCACCTGCCCGCTACTTGGGCACCCCAAAGCTGTGTGCTGCCCACCTGGTGTTCCCCAACATCTCCAGCTCTACCAAGTGCACCCCTCTGGCACCTGCTTCCCCTGCTGCCAGCGATTTAGACCAACCAGGCTGTATCCACGGCAACAGAAGCAGGAGTGTCACTGGCTGCCAGATCACTGAGGATCCCACAATGTGGCCTGGACTGTGGTGTATCCTGGTTGAGATCGAGTGAGCCCCCTTCCTGAATTCCAAGACAGTCCTGCTAAGAGAACCCAGGTAAGTAGTCAGCATCTTTCCATGAAGGGGCCAGGGGAGGAGGGGAACTGGGACTTCTCTTCTGTCTCCCCACATATTTCAGTCTCTATCACTGTCATGCTTCCTGTCCGTTAGTCTCTCTGCTTTATCACTGACTATGACAACACTCAAGCCCCAGGACTGCCTGCCTCTCTTTCCCCATCTTCCTTAATCCCGAATGTCCCGTAAGAAAGGGAACCACCACCTGTTTCCCCACTCCCAACCCCTCCCAGGGTCTGTTTCTATCATTATGGTCACAATTCGACACAAGACCATTCCCTGTGTGCTAGCTGTGGAAGGGGTACCTGGGGGCCCAGTGAGCCTTGTTCTCACAATGCCTGCAGCTTCCTTTCCTCCCTCCTTCACCCTTCTCCAGGTTCCTTGGCTTGCAGAAATATGTGTGAGCTCTCTCTCTCTCTCTCTCTCTCTCTCTCTCTCTCTCTCTCTCTCTCTCTCTCTCTCTCGTGTGTGTGTGTGTGTGTGTGTGTGTGTGTGTGTGTGTGTGTGTAAGAGAGATAGAGACAGAACCTGGGCAGCAAGCAGGTGGGTAGCTATGACGAGAAAGCTGCTCCTAGTGCAGGCCACCCCTCATTCCTTCCTTTATTCTTTTCCCAGTCTCTACCCACAGGTAACATACTTTTGCTCACTCACCCTGGAAGATGTGTCCCAGCTAGTGGGAGGAAGCGGCTATAGGAATAGAGGAAGGTAAGGTGGGGGTAGGGAGCACATTCAGGCCATGGGCTCTGACAGAGCTTGAACATGTCCCCATGACAATAGACAGGGGACAGGAACAACATAGTGGTCCCCTCACTGTGGGCCCTGGCTGCTATCACATGGCTCTCTGTTTCTGTTTCAGATACCCATATTGTGTTGGGGACCTCCAGATCAATGACACAGTAGCCAGAGGTCCCTGTATCTGGAGGTGCAGGAAAACCTGGTATATGGAGAACATGGATTCTACTAGGGACACGGCTCCTAACTACTAGCTCACAACTTTAGTGGAGGCATGTCACTTGTTGAACCTTGGTTTTCCCGTTTGTCGAGGAGACTGGTAACCCTTTCTTTGTGGATGTGTGCAGGGATTGAATAAATTGATGGCATGCAAATAATTTAATGTGTGCATAGGGTGGCACTGAGCAGTGTCAGCAAAGCTCAGGATCAATTCTTATTGCTGGCTGTTCATGATTTGTATTGCTATTGATTAGAAGAAGGATTAGCACCTTTTCTCCAGCGTCTCAGCAGAGATCTAGAGAAGGCAGCAGGTGGGGAGATGGAGGGTCGCAAGTGGAGGGAAGTAGAACAGCTTTATGCTGTTTCTTCTCATTTGTAAGGAATGATGGGTAGCTGTGAGCAGTCACCCCTATCCTACTTGGGGTTCTTTCCCTGCACTCGCTCCTATTAGCACATACATACACACACACACACACACACACACACACACACACACACACACACACACACACACACCAGACTGTGAGCCAGCAGAGGCCTGGCTTACAGCCTGCAGCATTTCTGGCCCTGGTATGTGTCCCTCTGTTGAGGGGAAATTAGCAAGAGTTTGGCGTATGGTCAGTGGCTGGCAGGGACTGGAGACAAAGCTGAAGCTTTTGAGATTATAGGGCTTTGAGGAGAGCTGGGGTGTGGTCCATGCAGTAGCCAGACCTGTAGCAGAGTTTGCCCACCTAGACCCTGGGCTGGGGAGAGTGGGGTTTCCTAGCTGATTTCTATATATGGAGATGTGGTGGGATACCAAGGGGAGGGGGGGCAGCAGAAGAGCCAAAAGAGGGGAGAGATTGAAGACAGGTTTCCTCTGAGGGACAGGGAGGGCTAGGACCTTTAGACATGAGTAGACTTTCCTGAAGAAGCATTTGCTGTGGAAGGGAGAGGACCTAGCCTGTTGCCCAAGGGTATCTGGACCTGAAACTAAGCATAGTATACATGAAAACAAGTGACCGCATGTATAGTCTGTGTGTACACCTCTCTGCACTGTAGGTGTATATGAGTTTAAATGTGTGTGTGAACAGGCTATGTGATGGCATATGGGATTGTGTGGGTGTCTGGATAGGTTTGTGTCTGTGGTTTTGCATATCTGGTGAGCAAATGGTCATGCTTGATTCTGACCCAAGTATTTGTGTGTTTCTCTGAGCCTGTATTAGGCCTGTTGAATGTTTGTTTAGATATGTGTGTGGTATCAATTTGTCTTTGAACACACATGTCTGGTCATATGTATATGAGTATCTGAGTCTAGAATCCATTTAAATGAATGCCTAGTTGGATCTGATTGTGTATATTCCTGTTTTCCCACATGTGCCTTTCTGTGTGGGTTCATCTAAATAATGTGTGTGAGCATAAAGACATATACATGTGTCCCATGCATGTAGGAAAGGATGTGTGTGAACATGCTTATATGTGTTGTGGGTGTGTCTCTCATATATTTGTGTGAATAGGCCTATGTGTGAAAGTCTGTATAGATTCTAAAGCATTTTTCATTGTCTGTGTCTGCATGTGCATGTTTGAGTGCCCACTATCTCTCAACAAACCTATGTGTTCATATCTATTTAAAGAAATGTAAGTATAAATAGGCACACTGGGATAAGGGAAGAGTAGATGAGTGAAAAATATTTTATGTGTGCATATTGGACTACATTTTTTAAAGACTGTGGGATTTACAGTACTCAACAAGGCTTTGTGCATAGGTGAATGGGTACATTAGTATGATGTCTAATTTGGTGTAAGTGCATATCTGATTATAGTATGCATGAGTAACCACATTTCATAATACTTGGGTGCATGTGTCTCACTATGTGTTTTGTTTAAATTTTTGAATGTGTATTTGAATATGCCTTGAGTGACTGTGTATATATATGCTACTATTTGTTAACACCTGACTGTGCATATATTCAAGTGAACATATCTGTACATAGGTATGTGTGGTCAAACAAAATTAAGTGTATGTGTTTGAATAGGCCTGTGTGTATGCCTGTCTGAATACACAAATGTGTGAAGTACCAGTTGGCACAGTTCTTATTTGTGTTTGTCTGTTTGTATTTATCTTCATTTGGTCTAAAGCATATATTATAGAATGATGTATATAAATCTATGTGCATGCCACTCTTAGTTCACAAGTACATTTGTGTGTATGTGTGTCGATGCATCTATTTAAGATAATTTTGCATGTATGTATGTGATAAGTTGATCAAATCTTCTTATGCACTTCAACAAGTGCACTGCAAGAATATATGAGTGTACTTCTATATGTGCATGTGTTGGAATATGCCTTTGTGTTCTATTCCAATGTACATACAAGTTCCTCTTCTTTCATTTATGTAGCTTCTCAGAATGGGTGTATGGATGTAATGGTGTATATATACCTGACTGTGATAGTGTGCTTTTGTGAGTATCTGTGTTTCTATAGTTAATTATATATATGAGTGAATTAATGTATGTACAAGTCTATAAACATGTGAATATGCTGTGTGGGTACATGGCCAGCTGTACATACAAGTCTATGTGTTAGAATATCTGCATATGTATATATCATCTCATTTATAAGCATCCACATATCTGGGTATGGATATGTGTGAACACACCTGTACAGATATGGCTATATGCATGTATGTATGTATGCACACATGCATGCAAATATACTTCTGTGGTTATGTTTGAGTATATATGTATACACATTTGGGAGTTCCCTCTTCTGTGCCCCTTTTTCTTTATCATCTCTTTAGATATGATATATATATTTTTTTACATATCTCTGTAGATATGTAAAAGTATGCCTATGTACATACACACTTGTGTTTGTGAATGAATGCATGTCATTCATGAGTAAATCATGTGACTATAGTCTATTTAAAAGAGTAAATGGATGCACTTGTGACTAAGTCCAGTGGAAATGTGCCTGTGTGTGGATAAATAAAGGTATCTGTGTATCTGCCTGTCTGATATGAGATTTGGCCTTGGTCTTGTGCAGACTGACCTCTACACAAACCTTCTACCCAAACACACCCATGCTTTCATCTTGTTCACACCATATGGATTCACTCACACTCTGTGCAGTATTCTCCACATGCTCACTAATGACCACTGGGGGCATAGATAAACCTTTGATATCCCACCACTGCCAAAGGCATAGGGCAAGATGGCATCATAATAGTGCCTAGGGTTAGTAAGAGCTATGCCTTCCGTGTGTGTGTGTGTGTGTGTGTGTGTGTGTGTGTGTGTGTGTGTGTGTGTGTGTAAAGAGAGACAAAGAGAGAGACAGATAATATGAGAAAGTATGAGTGTACATCTGGACATTTCACAGAAAGCACCCAAATTATGCCACCAGGCAGAAATCTAGATGTTAATAAATATGTATAAGTGAAAGTATATCTTAGGAAAGTAGTAGGTATGGGGGAGCATGAGTGTGTAGAGTATGTATATGTAAGAGATTATATGTGTTCCTGGGTAGGGTGTGCATGTGAGATAATTGTGTATGTTAGGGAGGGGAGGATTCTTTGAAACACAAAGATACACGCACACATCCCACCCAAATATTTTCAACTGTCACACAAACAATCTGTGTATACCTCTACACAAACCTACTATCCAAATACACCCATGCTTTCATCTCCTCCACACCATATGGATGTACCCAACCCACACTCTGCACAGTACTTCCCACACAAATGTGCCTTAAACACTTTCTTCATACACTCCATCCAGTTTACAGCAGTAGACTCAGTGAGCATGAGAGTATGTTTATTGGGATGAAACATGTTTATGAGATGTGGATATATCCTGAGGGTATATGAAAGTGTATAGGCACATTCAGACTGTGTGTGAGACAATGTGTGAGCACATTTGGAATAGAATGGATTTGAATGTAGATGTGTTTGAATAGTGAGCAGGTCAAAGCGTGAATATACTTAGGTGGCAAAGTGTATGTGTGAGAGAGAGACAGAGAAACAGACAGATAATGTGAGCAAGTATGAATGTACATCTGGACAAAATTTATGTTTGAATGTGAGTTCTCTAAATTAGGTTAGTATCTGAGTGATATATGAATGTGTGTGTCACTGTGTGCATATATTTGGCATGGGAAATTGTGGATACGTCTAGGTAGGGTGTATCTAAGTGCAGTGTTTTTGGAGAGTACATGTGTCACTTTGGGTGTATTTTGATAGTGTGCATTTGAAAGAGATTGTAGGTAAACTTAAGACAGGTATGAGGGCTCCAAGTTGGGGTGGGGTCAAGTTTAGGTGTATCTAAACACTGTATGTAAGAATGTGGGCATGCTGAGTTAGAGACTGTGTAAGTGTGACTTTAATTGGATAGAGTGACTATAAGTGTAAGCATATTTGAGATGATTATATATGAGAATAGATGTATGTAAATGGAATGTGTGTGAAAGTGTGGGTGTATTGGTGTTGGGTATATGTGTGACAGTGGGTGTATCTGAGTGGTGTGTGTGAGAAGGAAAATGAATGTGTATATATCTGGGTTTGGGGCTTGTGAGAATGTGGGTATATCTGACTAGGATATGTGCAGTTCTCTGGGTGTATGGGAAGGAGAGAATCTAAGTGGGGTGTGTGAGAAAGAAAATATATGTTTGTGGGAAATGAGTGAATCTAGCATGTGTAAAGGTATATCTGAATAGTGTGTGTTTGCATGTATTTCAGTTGGGAAGATAACTAACATGGATTTATGTGGCTGTTTTATAAGTGCTGTATCTAGATGTTTTGTGTATTCAATAGTGTGGTTATTTATGAGTAAAGTTTGTGATTATGACCACACATGAATATATTTTCTTGGGTGTATATATTTCTGCTAAAATGTCTGTAATGTGAATTTGTCCATAACTCGGTATGATTGACCATTTGTACCTAAGTGTGTGAGTAAATGGGAACTAACTTGTGTGTACAAGTGCTATATAGTTTTATTATATATGTGTGTGTATATATATATAATAAAATTTATGTTTGAGGTGAATATATTTGTTTTTATTTTTTAATAATTT